ATATTTGATGACCGCTCACATATATCTATTGGTAAAAATGTTCATGAACAAATGACCTTCAAATTAACTGACTTCAATTTATGCAAAAATGTTTGACCATACATTATGATGATTAATTAAAATTCGAATAAATCTGCTGAAGAAGCTGTGGCTTACACAGCGGAAGGTTGAGAAAAATCTTCCATATTAGTTTGTTTATTAGGTATATCACACAGTGAAACAGTATTATTTACTGAATGACGTTTCGAACAAAATTTATTGTTCATAATCATATCAATTGTGATCACACGTCTTCGGTTGACCTGAATAAGATAAGAAATCTAGAGAATAGTTCAGCTATAGCACTACATGCAGTTACACACAACCATACAATAGGATGGGATAGGATGACAGTTTTAAAATCTAATGTCACAAGGAATAGGGAGAGATTGATAACAGAAGCCTTGTTTATCGAATCAACTGCAAATACGAGTAATAGGAATGATTCATCACCTGTCCCAGATATCTGGAAAATTCTACTACCCATACGACAAATAGGAGAGAACAAAGAAAACTATAAAACTCAAGTGTCAAAGTCGTGTGATCACAATTGACATGATTATGAACAATAAATTTTGTTCGAAACGTCATTCAGTAAATAATACTGTTTCACTGTGTGATATACCTAATAAACAAACTAATATGGAATTACTTACTACCACAGTGCCCAAGTTTTACACATATATTAATGAGAAAAATCTTGTTTCGATTTTCTTAAACACGCTGGGATTAATTTAAATAATTTATAGTGAATCTATCTGACTCGACGCTCAAATTATTCCAGGAAGTTCGTAGCACCTACGGTCTGGAAACTTATTATTATAGGATTAGTGGGCAAATCGAATAAAATAAGAGTGTTACGTAATGTAGTGTTTGAAATCTGATAACAGAATTTAACATTAGAAAACAGGTTATTGAACAGTAATGCTCGAATGGTAAAGGTTATTCTCATAGGTGCAGCTGGGAATGTTCTACTCAGGGACTATGAGATCCTATTTTTAAAGATATCGGAAGGTAAATCACCTTTGAATTCCAAGCTCACGTGCAGTATTTTCTTTGGTATGGATGATAAGTCACTTTTCATAGGATTTGACTGTATATTCTTGTCTATTTTCTATTAGGAGTTTTCTCAAAAGATTTAACTCATCCTCCACAGTATCAGGACTGCATACGTGCCACATGTGAGTGACAAGCAACAAAATCAGGTTTCGTTTTCAGCCAATGGGTACCTAGCTGTAGAAATTTGTCAGTTGATCATTCTATGACAACTTTTGACAAATCGATCTCTTCAGAGTTCTATCGGTCCTCCTTGATAATTTCACATCGAGGAAATGAATACTAGACTTGTTCTTCATTTCAAGTGTGAATTTTATTAAATGCTTTCAATAAATTTTTTTTAAACATTTAACCCTTATTATTATATTTGTCCAAACTAAGTTCACTTTTATAAATCATTTAAAATAATCCCAGCATGTTTAAGCAAAAAATTATTGAGGTTTTTTCTGAACGTTTTGCTGTGTAAGTTATAGCCTCTTCAGCAGGATTATTCTGACTTAGTTAAGCATCAAAATATATAGTGAAAACTTACACAACAGTTTGAAAAATATTTAGGCATTGAGTATCTGATATTCATTATCATTACAAACGTTTGTGTATTTCCCAATGAATGAATGAAAAACAAAACTGATATTTATGTTTTTACTGACTTTTCACTATGTAATACTGTTAACTCCTTCATCAAAGTAGTAATATTAAACCGGCTTATATATAACAACTTAATCATCATTCATCAACTTGGGCTGATTTTTACCTTGTCAAGTTGGCCAGTTGTTGTAAAGATAAAAAGACCAGGTGTAGATTGTTAGAGTTGATAAGTGTTTAACATTAAAAAGGAAGCATGTGTTAATATGTAGTGAAATTGTTTATCACATTCGTGTTGATTTTGTTATTTCATGGAGTGGGTTGAGGGGTTGTTGTAACCAGGTGAGATTCTGTTTCACTCCATTACTATTGGACAATTTGGATTCTACTTGATGTGAATTACGTCTGATGGTATTAAACGTTCTTTGTGATTTCTGAAATTCTTCTGGATGAGGATTTCAATATTGTCAAAATAAATTTTGTGACCTGATTCTAAAGCATAGCGTGTAAACGACCAATGGCTGATAAATTTTCAAGCTTCTCTAGTTCAACTGGGTTTCTCAGTGATAGAATAGAGGCTTCTGTACGCTGTTCATTTCTTCTGATTTTGATTTCTCTCTGGTGATTTATTTTCCGATGTTTATCACATCACATTTTGTTTTTATAGGCGCAATTACAAACAGAATCTCTAGGGATTTGGTCTTTCTACATGGACAAGTTAGTTTCTCAGTGTGTCACAAGTCAGGCTTATTGAGTACTCTTCTGATATCGTCTGACGTCTTTGCTCAATGTGCAATTACAGCTGTTTAGGTCCATATTTTCGGAATACGTTTTTGACCATATTTAATGCCAGTGTTGCTTTTGTTGGTGAAGTTCTTGGATAGTTATTTTTCTTGGGTTGTTATACATATATATACATACGCTGAGACTTTGTAAATTCTGGTTTCATATTACTACTTTCTGATAAAGCTACCAGTAGCATTAGGTAGAGAAACGTCAGTAAAAGCAACAATATCGTTTTAGCTTTCATTCATTGGTAAATACAAAATCTTTGATTATATTTGTCTATATATATACGCTTGAAAACAGATTGAATTTCATGACTATTTCTTACTAACAATACAGGTTGCAGTGAATATGCATCATATAAGGTATGCAGTGAAGCAACCACACTTAAAAGGAATTGCTTTGATAACAATGATGCCATCTTATTGGATTGGATGGAAACGAATTGTTTTACTCATGTATGTAATTGAATTTTTCGATTCTATATAATACCTAAAATGATCTATTTTTTAAACTTTGAGTGAACACATTCACAGCTTACTTTTTATGGATTCTTAAAGAAATACTTTTTGTGATAGAAGCTATTTTTTCAGTAGTATTATTTTGTAGGACGACAAAATCTCTTTGTCGAGACTTATTGATACTGAATGTCTATTTTTAAGTGCTATTCTTTGGGGTTTTGAATTGTTTCTTAAGTTTGAGCATGGGTGAATATTAGTTGGAGAAAAGCTGAGAACCAGGGAGTACTGAACTATTTCTTCATCTTAGTTCGGGACTTTCCAGGAGAAGATATGGAACCCAGAACCTTCAGATTATGAGCTAATCATGGCAATCTTTCAGCCATTGGGACTTGATCTATTGACGCATGCATTCTATCTTCAGTCAGCTAGTGATTGTTAGCTGCATCACTAGCTAGTATCTTTGCCGAGTATCTGTCCTATTACTCAAGCTGGTGTACTGCATTGATCACAAACTCACATTCGATTTTAGATGAATTCCTACTGTAGTCGTTCACCAAACAATATCAGATGAATTTTCAACAAGAAGTAGTTCCAGAAATTTCTCAACCATTCAATATATATATATGTATATAAATTTACAACAGAATGCGAGTTTCTAATTTTCCTCTCGTTGTTCGTATGACTAAGAAATCCTAAAATAGGATCTTGTTCTGGAATTTCTCTTCTCATGTGAATTCGATATCGTTGAATATGTCGTCTGTTAGGTTGTGAGTTTTCTCCAACTCGTGTCTTTTGATTATCACTAATGTAGCATCCACGTAACGTATACAAAAGACTGGTCGGATCTTCGGTAGGCTTACTTTTTCAAGTCCTTGCATTACTGCTTCTGCAATCAGGCCTGATATGAGTGATTCCATGGGTGTTCCTTTAATTTGCCCATATATTTGATCATTGAATTGGAATTATGTTGTCACACATAGGTTAATGCATTCCATTCAACTTATTTGTTGCATTTTTGAGTGTTTTGGGAGCTGTTCGTCATTGCTGAGCAATTGCTCCATGTTTTCGTTTTCTAGTATCTGTTCAATTGAGGTGTATCATGCTGTGACATTGAAGGATATCATTATTCCTTGGTCATGTATTTGAATGCCCTTGGTTTTCTGTAGAAATTCGATTGCAGATTCGATAGATTGATCGCAGGATTCTGTTAGGTGATTCAATTTACTGTTGAGGTCCGTGAGAAAGATAAAAATAGTTGTAATGGGATGTTTGGTTTGTGTATTTTACGTCTGCCATACAATGGAGATAGAAATGGTCCACTGGATTCTATTCGCCACTGATTTTCTTTTGTGATCTGACCTGTTTTGCTGAGGTTGTTTAGGCTTCGTTGGATGTGGTTGTCTAATGTTTGGATGGGTTTTCTTGTGATCTATTGGTATACATCACCATTCCTGAGTAGCTCTTCAGATTTCTTGGTGTATTCTCTTCTGTCCATGAGAACTGAAGTTCTTTCTTTTGTAAGCATGACAATGTTTCTCCCACGTTGCAGTATCTTGACAGCTGAGTTGTGTGTGTGTGTTGTTTATCCTGTCTACCCACCGATAGGATTGTTAGGAGTATCTCATCTTGTGTTTTCTCTTTCAACTTCCATTACACTTATTGTTATATTAGCAACATTTTCTCTCAGAATTATGAGCATTGTTCTACTATTTATCACCCTGAGAATAATTGTCTGTGTGACATATCCACCATAGAAAAACAGGTACTGGTGAAGTTGTGTATCTCAGGTGGATATTTCTGATATGGGTGTATTCTCTGAACTAGATGGTCAAAATATGAAGGTTTCTTTGCCTTCCCAGACAACATCTTCATCACCTATTTCCATATGAAATGCGTTTCTCGAAATCTTTCTTAGTGTCAACTGTTTCATTGACCTAGAACTTAACTATTTTGTTATGCGATGTGTTCTATAATAGTTGATCTAGGTTGGTCTATATTAATATATCTTTTGTGTGAACATTGGTCAAACTGAACATCGGGTTTCTGTGAAAATGTTTTTAGAAAAACACAAATATGAAATGGAATCTAAGTCGTACGCATAAACCACACAATTATCCATCCCGTCTCCCGATGTCTACACAAACGTCTAACGTAAACGTCAAAGAAGAAAGCGCGGATCGAAGTCGTACCCATAAACCACGCATTTATCCATCCCATCTCTCGACGTCTACACAAACGTCTAGCTTAAACGTCGAAGAAGCAAGCTCGAAACGAAGTCGTACCCATAAACAACATTATTATCCATCCCATCTCCCGATGTCCTCAAGAAATTCCAACGTAAATGTCAAAGCAGAAGAAAGTCCAAGTGATTTTCCAATTTCCCATGTTCATTCAAATAGCAATCATATTAATAGAATACAAAATGCAACGGTTATATTTTCAAATAATCAAAATGAAAATGGTTATCATCTGTGATAGTATCAAGTACAGTGGCCACTCTCATTTCTACCACTATTTGTATTGTATTATTTTGTATATTCATAATAGTACTGAAAGTTAATCATGTCAGAAATGATTCACATTCATCTGATAACACAAGTAGCTGATACCTTTTCACAGTTGAGCGGAAATTTTTAATCAGTTCTCCAGAATACCGAAATAACTTATTGAAACTTTTGTTATTTACGCTTAACTCTCTGATAATTGTAATAATACTAATTAATGAACAAAATGAAAAGTACTCACGAAATTCCTGGATTGAAATTTAATAAAATATTCTAAAGATGTAATAGATTATATTAATTTTGCCTTGAATGCATTTGACAAGCCTTCAGAGAATATCAACACACTTTCTGATATTGGTACAAATATGCATGTGCTAAGAGTCTCACGTCTGTGATAATTTTCTTCTTTTCGGATAAACAAGCCTCATGATTTCAAAAAAGAGTTAAGCATAAGCAAAGCAAAACAAGGGATTCCTTGAAGAGTCGTTTTTCAAAGAATTTATTCCCATGCTGTACAGTCGCAGACAATATAAATATATGTATGTGTGCAACATGAGTGCTGCGGTAGTATGTAACTCCATGTTCATTGGCTAATTAGGTATATCACACACACACACACACACACAGTAAAACAGTATCAATATTCACTGGGTGGCCAAGTTTCGAACACACTTCATCATTATTCATAATCATATCAACTGTTTTAATCACACAACTTCAAAACTTGCATTTTACAGTTCTCCATATTCCTGCTTATTCTTAGTAGAGCGGTGGTTGGTAGAAATTTCCAGATGTTTAAGTGGACAGGTGGGGAATAATTTCTATCACACGGATTGCCGGTTGATTCGATAAATAAAACTGCTTTTGTGGTCTAATAGCTTGACCATAAAGATGGGAGGTTGTGGGTGCTAGCAATAAGTCTCAGATGAGGATGGAATGGCTGTCCAGTACTCACTACTTTTCAATGGCACTCTCTATCAAACTTGAGAGGAATAACAACAATCAGTGAAAGTCAACCTGCCTGAAACGTTATGTGTCCATCTCATCTGTCCTGTTGAACTTTCAGCTATCTATGTAGAAAATCCAGATCTTTGGATATAGAAAATATTTGTTCAATCATTCCAATCTTCATAGTCTTGATTCGACTATGTTAGAGTATGGCTATCTGCATTCATATTTTGTCCGTATTCGTCCGTATTGAAAAAATGCAAAGACCCAATTACCATGAAGAAACCTAATGGGTTCCTACGGTATTCTGTCAAACTTGCGTTAGTGAAATCTGAAATTTACTTTTTTGAAAGCTGTATCTGTAAAATTGAATATCCTAATGTATTCTGGAAAGCGCTTAGGCGTAAACGTATATGTCCAAATTCCAAAACATTAAAGCGCCATACACTTAATCGTATTGATGCAATCAGCTCTCGCGTTGTAGAGCTAAATAGGAACATATCTCTGAGAAGTCACGTTCTGTTTGAACTTTTAACTGATGAACGCCGGCAATTCGAGGAATACGTTTCTTTTGTCATCAAAGATCAGTCGCAGTCTGCTAACCTTAAGCATCTTGACAGTCTCAAGCAGGTAGTAGCAGAAAAGAAATTTCCGACTGATCCCAATAAATATGTATTTAATTATTCTTCCGTCACTCTTTCTGAAATTCAACTACAAGCCCTATCACTGGGCCTCAAATTCTGTAACAGATTGCACACTAAAGTGCAATTTGAATTTCTTATTAATCAGACCAACGATCTCACACCCACATCACCTGAAGAATTCCAACACTTTAAATCTACAGTTCTTGATCGCTGTCATCAGTTTACTAGTTCAAAACCTAGCTCGAATAGTCTTCTAACTAAAGAGCATATAGATCAACTTAAAGAACTAGAGACGAATGACGATATTATGATATGCCGTCCAGACAAAGGTGGGGGAGTTGTAGTTATGAATCGCCAAGATTATAATGATAAAATCTCTGCGATCCTTTCCGACCAAATGAAATTCGCCAAACTCGATGGTGAAAAGAATAAGACACATCTAATTGAAAATCAACTGACTGATGTCTTAAAGAACATGAGGAATAAGTCAGTAATCTCGTCAGAAATATATGAACGCATCCGACCAGTAGGCTCCATGATACCGCGTTTGTATGGACTACCTAAAATTCATAAGACAGGATTACCCCTCCGTCCTATCCTGGATATGGAGGGTTCTCCTTATCACGAAATCGCTCAATGGCTAGCTGAAATACTGGAACCAGTCAGAAGGCAAGTATCTAAGTTTTCCATTGATGATACATTTAAATTTATTGATTGCATTAAAGATTTCAATGTCTCAGACAAAATCCTGTTCTCATTAGATGTGACGTCGCTATTTACCAATGTTCCTCTCATGGAAACTCTTTGCTACTTATGTGATTATATTGATACACATAGTTTAGAAATAGGACTGCCGACTATTTACCTCAAGGAGCTTTTATTGAGATGCACGTTGAATGTTCAGTTCACCTTCAATAATGAGATCTTTAGACAGAGAGACGGCATTGCCATGGGATCACCACTGGGTCCCTTGTTGGCTGGTTGTTTCATGGCAAAGCTTGAAAGTTCTCAACTTAGTCAAACCATCGGTCATTTTGACATTTATAAACGATACGTAGACGACACTTTCGTTATCTGCGATAGAAATGTAATTCTTGATGATGTCTTGTTTGCTTTCAACAACTGCTATCCTTCTTTACAATTCACCATAGAAAAGGAGTCCGAACTAAGTATTCCCTCTCTTGATGTGTGCCTTAGCAGACGTAATGACGGATCTCTCAAAAGATCTATCCACCGGAAACGTACTTGGAACGGACAACTAACTAATTTTTACAGTTTGGTGCCTATTTCCAGGAAAAGGAACTTAATTCATTCACTCTGCTCTAAGATAAAGACAGTTTGTAGTTCTGATTCCGTTGAATCGGAACTTGACATCTTAAAAGCCACCCTCGCAGAAAACGGTTACCCTAACCGACTTATTGACAGCAACATGAAAGATAAGCAGTCTTAACTCATCACCGACACAGTTCCAAAGAAAACCTTATTCATGAACTTGGAATTCAAAGGTGATCAAGCCTCAGATATGCTCAAAAATTGTCTCTCTAAATCAGTCAGGAAGACGTTCTATGCCACAAAATTACATATGACGTTCACTAGCCGCAAGTTGTTCTCTACCTCTGTAAAAGATAAGCTCCACCATCTGGCCGCCTCCATGTGCATCTATCAGTTCACCTGCTCTTGTGGAGCAAGGTACATTGGCCGTCGTCATAGGACGCTTTCCACACGGATATGAAAACATATTCCAGCATGGTTTTACAAGAGAGAAAGGAAGTGTGTGAGAAGCTCTATTTTGGAACACCTGATCGACTTCTGTCACTCGGTCAACCCTGACCATGATTATAAGATCATATATAGAATCCATGCTAACATCCCGCGTTATCTTAGTTGCAGACTTCGAAAGACAGCTGAGGCCTTGGCAATTCATGACTTTAAGCCAAACCTTTGTGTACGAAAAAAGTATGTGCAATCCCTACTTCTGCCTTGGCCGCAGAGGGATAGACATTCATTTATTTTGTTTATTTAGTTATTCCATGTACCTTTCCCTTATTACTACGATTATTATTATTATCATTATTATTGTTACTATTCTCACTCTGAATTTCTTTCACTTGACCCACTTTACACTTTAAACCCAAGATTATTGATTTTTATAATTTTATTTTTTACAATATTGAAATATATCTTATCAAATTTCACACCATGTTATGTAACATTTTATATTCGTCTACTAATCTTATAATTATGTACACCTTTCCAAAATTCTATACACCTTATGTATTATTCTATATACGATATTAATTATTTTGCCACTTGACATTGAACTTTGATTATAATCACAAATATTTTAATTGCGTTTCATACTATTATTATTTCATGTATTCACACCCTTGACCTAATTCCCTCACAGGATATAATTTTTATAAAAACCATATACATACGATTGTACAGCTTGATAATAAATTCGTTGAAAAGAGTCTCTTCGCTGAATATTGTGTTCTTAAAACTATGAGCGAGTACAGCTTTGAGATTCAGTAATATATGTCAATTTTTGAACAGTCAAAAAATAGAGAAAATTTGAATGATTCTGTCAGGTTGAAATTCAGATAGCCCGTTGAGTCAAAAGTGCACCTAATGTTTAGAAATCATCACATTCAATGAACAAATAAATATATATTGTCAGTAAATGAAGTTACACTTAACCCAAAGACATCATTGTAATTGATGACAACGCGACTGCAGAAGGTCTGTTAAGTGAGCAAGGTACCTGCAGATTGCAAGAAATGCTAATTATTAAAGCTGCCGAAGAAAAGAGAATCAGTTCAACGCAAGAATGTGGCACGCGTCATCACGCTTCTGTCTATCTCAAGCAAAATACTAAGCCACATCATCCTGAAGAGAATCAAACACGCCAATCTGCATGAAAAACTTCAAATGAATCCAGGAGAAACAAGTCATGCATTGATCAAGTCACAACACAACAGATCATCGTTGGAGAGAGCTCGGAATGGCAGTCAGGTCTCTATCTCAACTTCATCCACTCTGAAGAGACCTTCGATAGTGCAGCGTCGATCGAGAGGTGATTGTCAAACTGCTACGCCACTATGGGGTGCCGCCGACAATTATGCATATCATTCAACAGTTGTACAACAATGCTTCATGCCATGTAATCCACAACGAGAAACTTGCGGAATCCTTGTAAGAAGTGAAGAGGGGAGTAAGACAAGCCTGCCTGGCTGCCTACTATCTCCAGTGATTTTCCTGACTGTGGTAGACTGGATAATATGACAGACAGCGGGCCGCGTAGCGAGGAGACAGACATTCAATAGACCCACACAAAACTTGGAGGATATGGACTTCGCCGATGAAATGTGTCTGATTT